TTATAAAGAAAAAATTTATATTTTATAATATTTCTTTAATGTAAAATATTACATTTAAATGATTATTTAAATTTGATATTATTATTTAATAATTTATTGAAATCATATTATACTTTTGTGTAAAAATATTATTAAATAGTATTATAATAATAAATTATAATGATTTATTTAATATATATTTTTTTTTCTTTTTAAGACAGTAAAAATTATCAAAAGTAAATAGATTTACATCATATATATAAAATTGGATTAAAATTAACATAGATATGAAGAATATAAGATTTATATAAGCGGAGCGCGTGCGCTCAGAAATTTAGTATTGGACTATCGTTCGTGCGAGTCGCCACAGTGTGTTTCTATCTTTCATTTTCTAGAGTATTATATCTTACTTTCTTGTCTATCTTACTTTCACTAATTTTCTGAGCAAAGCTGACATATCAATGCACGTTTCTCATAATAAACAGAATACGTTCGAATGCATACAAAGTTACTGAAGTGATACAATAATTATGCGTAACTAAAGATATATTTCTATTTCGTAATTCCGTCGTATAGATACATTCTTTTTCGCGGGATATTTATTGACAGGATTTCGACATTGATAAACATTGTTACAATCCCTGGTTGAATATTTTTTATCAAGAAACAGAAGATGTTCAAATATTCGACCATATTCACTGCCATAATATTCTTATGTGGTAAGTTACTAATTCGAGTAATCGAATTCAACGATTTGTTTGGACATTTAGAAATATATAGATTTTTTTTTTGCTATATTTTTTCATTGATAAAATTTGTGATAATTCATGTATCGTATAATTTAGCATAAAAGAAAGATTCGAGAGATGATTAAAAAAGTTAAAAGGAAAAATTCATAAAATGATCGCATGTGCAAAATCATGCTAGTTAATTTTTTTATACTCACGTTAAAAGAGTTGTTTTATCAGTAGAATTCAAGATTAAATATTACTGCTTGAAATACAATTCTTTATGTATATCATTCGAAAGAAATGACCATTGTTCTACATTTATGATAGGAACAGTGAATCTCAAATTTCACTGTTTGATTTTAAGATCAAGAAATGATAATGACATTCATGCTCATATTTGATAATGATATGTATCATTAGAATTAAATATAATAACTGCATCGAATGCTCGATTTATTGACATTTAATTCTTAATATATATTCCGCATAAATATTTACAGATATAAATTAATGATCGATGTACTTGATTATTGATATGAGATAAAGATTGTACTGTTCTCTTTTTATATCGAATAAATACTTATCATTATTACGAATGCACAGATTGCATGTTGATTCAACTTGTGTACTTTGTACTTTATGAATATATTTTCATTTTTCATTAATTGAATATTTATGATACAAAAAATTTTTATAAAACAATTGTAAAAAATATATTCTTATTATTATTATTGAAATCATTTTATTAAAGATTCAATTTCATAATTTCTTTTATTTTTCATAACCTATAAGTGTATAATAAAATAAAGAAAATAATTAAAATATTATATAAATTTATTTTAATTTTTATTTTAATTTTCATATTGAATGAAATTAATTTTAATAATTTTAATTCGAAAAATAAAAAAAATATAAGAAATAAAAAATATGATTAATAGACTTGTGATTACAAATTGAAATAATAACTAATACAAAGTCCACGTGAGATGACGTGTTTACTTCCTCTTTAAACAGGAAATGCTATAAAACAAGATTTCAAATAATCGTAAAACTTAGCAACTTTTAAATTAACTTAATTTTTAAATTTAAATATTTAATGCTAAAAAAGTTATGAAAGGAATAATCAAAAATTATAATTTTGATATTTTCTTGTCTTATAAAAACTTCTGAAATAAATATTAAACATATTAATAATTATTGAAATTCATTTGCAAAATATATCTTAAATAATATGTCTTAATATATATAATTATAATTAAT